ATATCCAGGTACCCTCCAAATTAATTTTTTCATACTTAGTCTGATAGAGCAAAATGTTTTCTTCGCAACAAGATCATTTCCAAAATTTTTTAATGCTTTTTCACGAAGATGTGAACATTGCCACAAACGTCCTGCGAAAGAGTGACCGGTTTAATGTCATCTGTAGACGGGTCGATATACTGGAAAAAAACACTGTTTTCGATATATCTCCCAAACCGTAGCTCGTACAAAGTTTCGTCCGCAGAAAGAGCACATCTACATAATATAACAAACATAAAGTCCGAAGGAACCACATTGATCAGACGAACTGTTGATAGAGCAGTGGGCTTCTCAAAGCTTTATCTGTGATGCGTTTTTAAAACATCGGTTTGTGTAAAAGCTTAACCTGTCTTGAGTTCTTTTTTAGAAAGCCCAGTTCGAAAAACATACTAAAGGATGAAACGAACAGTATTATTTAATTTAGATAGATAACTTATTATGACTAGTGTTAAAGAATCTCTGTCTAACGATGAACTCTGTGTTAGCGAAACTGTAGACCGTTTTGGGTTTAATAGAACAGCATTGGTTTCCCTAAGATTTTGCTCATTCCACCACACCAAAGGAGTTTTGCTGGGTCCTTATCAATCGCGAGTAATGAAGGATATTTAGTTTGCGAATCGACCATTATTAGATGAGATAACTTTTCACGCATACTTCGAACAGTGCGTTTAGCTCACTTTTAAAAATGATATAGTTCTATTCAAAACAGCAGACATTCTGTGAAGTGTGAATTATTTTGCACACTTTATTCGTACTATTACTATATTAATAGGACGATATTGCTTTTAGGGTAGTGTGTGGACGTTTCGAACGAAATCATTTGTTCAGTTTACGAATCCGTTAACCAAAACAACGTACTGTGATAAACTTGTATTTCTAACGGCTCCACAGTTAAATTACAGAAATTCTTGATTTGAAACGCAATTTTTTTCTTGCTTTTTGGAACCAACTGTTCTTTATGGTCTTCTTATTACTGTATTTTAAAATTTAGTTTATACTCTTGTTGTGTGTTATTCGGCAAAAACATGCTGACTGTTGTTCAACCTTTTATAGCACTTGAACGTGTATCTAGATATTATAAGGATGCACTATATTCGTCGATCGTTACACTCATTTCAAATTTTAACTTTCGAATCTTCGATGTAAACACATGAGAAGTAGTCTCCTGTATCATCTCAAAGGCAAGAGTCACCTTTACAAAGGTATTGTAAAGGGACTTTAGTGGAAAGAAAAAATTTTCGGATTTTGAAATTACTATAATATCAAAATATTTGAAATTGAAATTGGCAAGGTGATCATATCTATTATTGTACAGCAATGATCAATGTAAAGTTTATCATTCTCTGACGTAATTAAATATTTTATGGAACTGAACTAGTGACCAGTTCTTAGGAACTATAAGGACTGGAATTGTCCCACCCCTAAAAGCAAATCGACAGTCTATAATATCACCGAAATTTGATGAGGACAACTAAATGAGTATGTAATAAAAATATGGTCACGATGTCGTAAAATTTTGAATCTGAAGATCTTATAGTTAAAAAATTTCAAGCATACGCACGATTAACAGTAGACCTATCTTTCACATGCACTCCTACAATTCCCTGCCTATAACATCCCAAATGCCTATAACATCGGAAATTATGATTTTGAACACGCGAACAAAAAATCCGAGACAATTATGCGGAACTAAAACATTGGACACCTGCTTTTATTCACCTTGATCGGGCAAATTCTTCATGTATTTATCATGCGTGATCATTATCTGCCGTATATCTTCATTCCGTTGTTGCAGGTCGAAATAATGCGTAGATAAGGTGAAAATTGTGATACGTATTTGTGAATCTCACCCTCGACACTTGATCACATTTCCTTCAAAAGATACAAGCAATTCACTGAGAAGTATACGAGAAAAATTCGATACACGATATACTGTTTTGACACTTTTGGAAAAAATACTTTTCTTTATTTTTTCAAGGCAAGGCTTCGAATTTTCAGAATACATCTGATATCATGCTGGACGGCCCTTTTGATTCTGGCATTCCTCCAGTCGATTTTAAACCGAATCTACGAGTGTTTCGGTTTTATTAACAATGATGGCATTTCACTCTTCTGTGAGCCTTTATCAATGAAATGTTCGTATCTTTCGAAGGAAATGTGACCAAGTATCGAGGAGGATCTCATTTTGAAGAGTCGACTCCTTTCTACAATCCTGCACAAGTAAAAATCTTTTGGATGAGAAGACGGAGCTAAATTAAAAAAGCTTGCGCATGTGCTAGTTTAAAGAACATTCTGAAAAACATGTAAAAAGTCACCATTGTATTTCTAAAATGAGTGTATTCTACTCAGGTTTTTTTCGCTCTTTTTGATGGTATGTTTAAAAAGTTCGTAAACCTTCCTGTATCTGAGATATTTTCATCCTTCGAAAAACTTGACACTCAGCGATTACAGTCGACTATTTGTGACCAGAACTACATGCTTTGAACAAACTTTTGTTTGGAAACAATATGCTATATGGATAATTTGGGGCGTATGTATAGTCTCTTACATATCCAATCAACAAAGTCATTCATTATTTTAGAACGATGGCCACGAGTCTAAGTTTGGATCACGATCTGAAGGCCATAGAGCGAAAAGTTTGATAATTATGAGAATCATGATTACTTTACGGATGATATACACACACAGCTACATCTTCTTGAAAATTTCCTTTTTAGTGGTAAAGCCAAACTAATTTCCTCATCGTTTTGTTTTCTTTTTAATATATATTTATTGTGTTTTAATCACTTTGTTTGTTTGGAAGAAACACAACAAATGAGAACAAAAAAAAGTGTTTAGTTTTCATTCAACGATGATATAATAAAAAACGAAAACAAATTTAGAAACACAAAAAACACTTTTCTTTACTCTTCTTTGTTATATTCATTGTTGTTCTTGTTTTAAATGAGTACATCAGGAAATTCAAAATGAACATCTTTTCCAGTTAATTTTTTATAAACCGATTGAAATGTACCAATCTAAATGACAAACAAAATGATATAACTGTTAAAATAAAAAACAGTATCCCATTAAACTAGAAACACTAAGTATCAGACTGCGTTTTCACATGCTCTTATTAGATAAAATTTACTTTTAAGTTGTTGTTCCTACCTTTGCTTCGACTAATGTTTGCTGATTTTTATCTAAATGTACTTTGAATAATCTTGAACCATCTAATTTAATACGTATACGTTTTCCCGTTATTTCAGCTGGGTATACCAAATCATGCAATATAGCATCGTGAACAGCTGTCAATGTACGACTGAAAAATAGAAAGAAAAATAAAGATTAAGAAAAGATGGCAATAATTTATGCTCATTTTTCATACTTACTTTCTCGGACGTTTTTGTTTCGATTGTGTTTTCGATTTTCTTGTCGGCTTTGGCAATATTCTTCTCTAAAAATAAACAAGTATAGCGATTAGATTAACTCAAATGTGAGAGATACATGTTCTTCTTGTTATTAAAGAGAATTTTTTCTTAAAACAGAATGAAATTATAATGTACGCTTTACTCAACAATGGTTACTTGCTCGTTCGTGCACCAATTTAATAAAGACTACAGTTTTCCAAGCGAACATTTTTAAACACTAGTACTTACTTGTCCTAATAGGACAACAGTTTGATTAAATTTTTTTTCAAGTTCCGATACAAGTGATTGATGAACACGTTGAAAGTTTTTTATCTTTGGTACGGGTATGTAAATAATAATTGCAGATCGTCCCTCACCCAATTCAATTCTCTAAAAAAACAAACAAATACAACTAGATAAATGAAATAAATTGTTATCTTCTATTATTCAATACATACTTTTGCTCCGGTGATGTATAATTCACGCAACTGTCCTTTGAAATGAGCATTATTTTCCAATTCCAAAAGTTGCTACAAAAGAAACAATAATTAGAACATAAACAGAACATAGTCTGTCTCACTTTTCATTTTATGACATATTTAAAAGTTCTTTTAGTAGAAAAGCAACTATCAGGCTTTTTCAACTCAATTTTAATCCCAATTATTACAGATTTTAGAAATTTTTCTTGCACATATGATTGTGAATAGAATTTAAAACATAGGATTTACCTGTGATATATCTAATTCTAGCGATGATGGAGTTTCACCGCCACTTTTAATTATTTTAGATGTCGTCATGATTTTTTACTACAACTGAAAAAACACGAATGTTTTCCACTGATCTAGAATGAATAAAGCATGGACCTCAAGAAAACCATCAAGGATCGGTTCAAAAGCGCATTATTACTTCGTGCTTCTTAAGTATCTCATCCAAGTGAAGCACTCAGTTAAACTCAAGCTGTATACGACCTTTTTGCAGTGGCAAGTCAACTTTTGGGACAGAGAATTAATAAAAGACAAAAATACGATAAGTTTCAGCTTCAGAGAAAACTACTCTTTCAAAAAACTAATGATAATTATAATTGGTTCTTCTACAGATCGATCACACCCCCTACTGTGGTGTGTGTGGAGTGTGAGTGTGAGTGTGTGATCGATCTGTAGAAGTACCTTATAATTTTCCTAGTTGTTGACCTAGTTTTGGACTCAAGCTTCAACTCTTTAGCAAAAAAATGCAAATTCTCATGACAATAAAGTTACTAATACTCGATACATTCTTCCATATGAAAAAGATCTCTATAATTCAAGAAAGTATAATTTGAATGACTAAGTGCAAAGACAGTATCTGTAATTTTGGAACGAGAGTCTGTTTTTTACCGAAGATCCATTGTGTTAGCGTCACAACGAATCTCTCTTTCTTTTTGCTAATTGTAGATATAAAAACTGATCGATATCAAGTATCTGAATTTATCTGAATTTGTGAAATATTCCTCCTTTTCAAGTTTTTGAAAAATAAACTTTTATCATATCTGCACGCCGCCATATAGTGCCACCTATCTCCCTAACTAAATAGTGAAACGAATTGATAAGATTTCAAATATCGATTCTTCGTTCTTTGATAACACTCAAGAAACTGCCAAACTAATAAAACTATTTAAAAATTATAGGAAGCTTTGCTTTTTTTTGAGATTCTGTATAGACGATTTTCTATTCCCACTTAATTGTCGCTAGTTGGTACTAATTGTGTCCCAATATCAGAAACCGCTAATGTGCATGTGTATTTGATAGGTAAAAAAACATTCTTGTAGTTTATTTATATCTTAACAACAAAAAAAAACCTGAAGACATTAAACGAGAGAATGAATAGTACAAAACAATCAAACAAAAGAATGTTTCTATACATTCAATGAGAAGTACAAGACAGACACTCATAGTTCCAGTTTATATATATAGAGAGAGAGAGCTCACATAGGGATAGGAAGATAGCTTTATTTACTTATTTTTGATTGCTCATCGCGCAAAGAATACATTGATTAGACATAAACGTTTGTTGAAATACAAGGAAACCTTTCATAGAAAGGGATAACAAAGATAATACGCCAAATGCAAAGAGAAAAAAATCGTTGGTAACCTTTATCGTTTTTCAACTTAGAAGCAGAAAATGAAACGAGACATACCACACAACAAATCATTCATATGTCGTCAAAAACAAAACATACAGAGTGTGCATGAAAGAGGATGAATATCATTGAAAAAACAAAAAATGAAACAAATATATAAAAGGAACAAATAATGACTTTTCTTCTTGTAAATAAAGTTACAACATAACATTGTACTATGTTTTTTGTTTTACCTGCTTCAAATATTCCAATATGAACTAAAAATAGAGAAAAATTACAGACATTTGTAAACAAGTATACAAAGAAAAAACAGCAAAGCAGAAAAGCGAAGTAAATCTACTACATAAAACGATGATCAATATTCAATGGCAGAACTTTTAAACATACAGAAGTTTGCATAATTTTAGCAGCTTATTTCTTTTTATTCATTAATTAAAAATAGTAAAATAATATAAGCGAATTCGAAGCGATTCGAAACAATTATGTTATTTTACTATTTTTAATTAATGAATAAAAAGAAATAAGCTGCTAAAATTATGCAAACTTCTGTACTACGTAAAACACCACAGAACAGTCTAAGCGTTTTACCATTTAGCAAAATGCTACGGTATACAGTGCGAAGAGAAAGAAGAAGTATTTGTCGAAATAAAATACTTCAAGCTCTATCAACAGTTTCATTAAAATTACGATCTATTGCAAAATAGTTAATATTCTCAGTGGGCTCACTAATGATTCACAATGCTTCTGTCTAGATTACAACAAACGTGATTAAAATCTATTATTACTTGGTTAGTGTACAAAAAGAACCGCATGCATTACAACATATTAACTACTACACCAGAAACATAAAAATGCTAACAATCCACTTGTTATGTTGAAAAGAAAGCTAGGGAAACCACAGCAACCGAAATATAGGAAAAGATCGATAAATGATTAAATAAAAGGAATAAAAATAGCAGACATAGAATACTATTCGTTTCAGATGCAGAATAGAACAATTAAGTGCTTTAAAGCAAATAAACTAGGAAATGACTCTAAATGATTGTACTCCTAACGAGGGAACCTTTCCAGGTGTCCAAGCGCTTTTCTAACGAAGTGCGGTAGTTTTTAGGCAATCGACCATGCTGATTCCGAATATGATAGCCGTTTTTGCCCATAGGCCTCTCCTAACCGGTTTCTGAGAAACTGGTTTTCCAGAAACCCCGAAAAATCCCCGAGAGTTTTTCTAAATAAGTCGCAACTGTAGCCCGCGAAATTCTGATTAAAATGAGACATCTCCCAACTCTACATGACCTCTCTTTGCAAAGTTATAGAATTTACAAGAAAAGCCCTAAATGTTATTATCATCTCAGGGCTACAGAAAGAAGAAGGAAAGATGAATTTAGGGCTGAACATGCTCGTCACGCAAAAACTGGTCTTGTATGGGATAACTGGAAATTAATTCTTGAACCAGTTTATTATCGACGAAATTGTTCAGCAGAAGCACCGTAAGATTTTCATTTCTCTCAAAATTTGATATTTTCGGTTAATACGAGCAGAAGTAAGATATTGCTTATCATGACTTCTTGTAGGGTGTTACAGTTGTGACTTATTTAGAAAAATTCTTGGGGATTTTTCGAGGTTTTTGGAAAACCAGTTTCTCAGAAACCGGTTAGGAGAGGCCTATGGGCAAAAACGGCTATCATATTTGGAATCAGCATGGTCGATTACCTAAAAACTACCGCACTTCGTTAGAAAAGTGCTCGGACACCTGAAAAGGTTCCCTCGTAAGTAGTGGGAAAAGAACATATCTCTCAATTCTACCTTCGTTTAAGCTATCACAAGACAAATCACGCGTACTATGAACAACACACTATTTTTCTCTTCATACTTCAAAAATAGAAATTGGAACATAATAAATAAAATCCATATTATATATCACCATTTAGTAGTGTGTGTGTGTTGTTTATTTCTCTATTCAGACTGAAAAAAAGAAAAAAGCTTTTCTTCATTTACGATAATGTTGTTGTTGTTGATATAATACAACACTCTTCATTTTTCTCCACAACCACTTACAGATATGTTTTCGGGACTATCATGAGCAGCAGAAGAATTAACAGCAGCAAGAACATCATTGGTCATAGTCTAGGAGAGAAAGAAGAGAACAACAACAACAACAACAAAACAAAAAAGATATAATAGTGAAAAAAGGGAGAAAATCAAACAAAGAATTCAGTATTAATCGTAGCAAAATTAACAAGCATTTGCAACAGCAAAGAAAACGAGTTAATCATTAATCACACCACGCATATCTGTTACACGTACCTTCTGCTTATCCTACCACTATAATTATTCCCAGAGAAAAAAAGATTTTTGTCAATTTTAGCATCTTTCTTGTATTACTACAAGCCTTCACGTTTATTTCTAAACATTTTTTTGAAGATAACTTACTGGTTGCTTATGATCATCTTCATTATTATCATAATGTGACGATAATTTTTGAACTTTTTTCATAGGTGAAAATGATGAATGTTCGTTGTCTTCTTCACCATCAGTCATTTGAGCTGACCGTTTCTCTCTAAACATACAAACAAATATAAACGTTAAGTAGTAAAAATGCTATTATCAACCATTGTTATATCCAAGATTTATCATGGTCTTTTTCTTTCTTCATACAACATCGAGGAAGTCTGAGTAGTGAATCTTGTGTATCACAAATCAATAAGTATTTTGATGGTCAACAAATATGGTCAAATTGACTTATAAATTTGTTGTTAACTTTTACCTTGGAGGTGGCGAATGTATTTCGTCATTACTACCAACAGACACATTATCTCTAATTTGTTCTAATTTTTCCATACGAATATCCTAAAATTGGAGAAAAACAAATGTTTACATTTATCTTATGAAGTATGTCAATCTGAGTAATGAATGACCGAAAATATGGAGACGTTATTGATAAACAACAACTATAGCGTTATCAATGATCACATATTTTACTTTTTCTTCAATCGTTTTCCTTAATTTTGCGATTGTCTGATCTTTTTTCGTTAAATTACGATTCGCTGATGCCTAAGAAGGAGGAAAACAGTAATTGAATTTTATGAATAAAAATGGGTATTAGTAGTTTTATTCTCGCTATTAAATTACTCACGAGTTGATCATTGATTGTTTCGCTTTCCTGTTTTAAATCCTGAATTCTTAGTTTAAGTTTTTCATTATCTCGTTTTAATTTTGCATATAACGCATCGTTTGATGACGACGAAGAATGATTGTTAGAGTGATTATTGTTGTGACTATTATGTTTTTCATGTTGCTGATAAGAAGATGGTGGTGACATGGAAGAATGATCACGGCGATGTTTTGATGATGATAACTCTTTTGTTGAACTGGCCGTTGATGGTATTGTGGCATAATCAACAAATAATCTTTAATAACAAAACAAACAGTGTGATTTGTTGACAACAAAAACGATATCGTACAGTTTAGCTTTTATATTCAGTACTTCCATAACGTTATTCTCCTACAAGAATTAACGTCAAATTGATTTAAATGAACTTTTGCTTATAAGAAGTCATGATAAGCAATATCTTACTTCTGCTCGTATTAACCGGAAATATCAAATTTTGAGAGAAATGAAAATCTTACGGTGCTTCTGCTGAACAATTTCGTCGATAATAAACTGGTTCAAGAATTAATTTCCAGTTATCCCATACAAGACCAGTTTTTGCGTGACGAGCATGTTTAGCATCATGATAATTCGTATAATTGACAAATACCATCTAGAAATTAGAAACATTCATGTTATAGATAACCGTTAAATTTTAAAAGAGGATACACTTACACGTTCATCATTTTTATAATAAATTTTTATCGTATTAGGACCATATTTGGAAAATTTTTCTTCAATTCGTCCTAGGAGGTAGGAAAATATGAGAAACTTAAGGATATTCAGATACAAGCATAGAAAGTCTATTTCACTAGCGAATAATTCAGAAAATATACTTCATTTATCATATCTAAGATATCCTAATAATAATTGCAGAGATGGACAACTCCAATTTCAACTCCGTTACCAATCAATGTGACTCTTGGTATAACTCCGTAGGAATTGCTGAACTTTTATTTGTGTTAGCGTCGATATTGCTCAAATACGCAGTCTAACTCCAATAAATTTAGCATAACTTCACCAAAAATCCGTTTAACTCTGAAATTGTCCATCTCTGAATAATTGTATGATTCTGAAATGTAATAATACTCGTACATTTTTACTTACTTCTTAATTCATCATGAGCTATTCTTGGATGAATATTTTTGACACATATCGATGTATAATACACACGCTGACCGTCTTCACGATCATTTGATGGTGATATAAGATGAGGACGAGATTGAACTGGAGAACGAGAACTGCGTCGTCGAGAAGAGTGAGGACGTTCTGGAGAGCTACTTGATGAACTCATTCTCTTCTATCGGCTGTTTGATGAATGATATCTAAAACAACTTTTCTGTTTACTACTTCGAAATATTTTGACTTTATTAGACGGCACAAAATACTTCACATATCTTAACTATAGTTTATTCTTTACTATACAGGACGCTCTACTTCAAAAGATGAAATGAACCGACCAGGCATAGAATAAACACACTAGCTGCAAATATGAAAATTCCTATCAACCATCTTCTTTTTGTGTGCTTCACATTTCATAAAAAGAAATAAGCGAATAAAAACTTAATAAGTAAAAGCTCATGACTACAGACATGTTCATATCATCAATAAGTGAATTTTTGTTTGATGTTGAGGTAAAGTCTAAGTTTCTGATTCGTTAATCATTTCGACACTGTGCCAATATAACTGTCTGAACCTGTTTTTTATTTACTACATAATAATCAAGTGTGTTCACATGGCAGAGATGGGAATAAATCAAGTTCGTCTTAACTTGAGATTGTGCATGGCAACATAACTTAACAGTTAAGCCACTAGTTCAAAAATGCAGTACTATTTTTGTTTTCGGTTATTTATACACAGTTGGATAGAGCACATCGAGTTGATGAAGAATATGTGTATTTTAATATTTAAAATACTTTTTTAAGGGTCAAAAATTGAAAAAACTTGAAGGGTGTAAAATTTCAAAATATCGCTAATGTTCAATAAGTTTGATTTTTTGAATACTGGTTTTAATTCGAAAATTTCAAAAAACAAACCTTTGGCGTCAAGGGTAGGTGCTTGCTAAAGGAGCGATTTTCCATTTTGTAAACCTATCTAGTTTTTCCCGTTGAGTGATTTAGCCTCCATTCGCATTTCACAGTAACCGCCGACGTGCGAGCTACAAAAGATTGAAGAACTTTTTTCAAAATTTGGCTCCATTCCTGAGATATCTCAATTTCAATGAAAATCAGGCAGTTTTGACCAAAAATGGTCAGGTCATTCTTCAATAAAGTTGTCAATTTTGGCTCAGATCAATAAAAAGTTGGTTTCGTAGGTAAACAACAGCGTAGAATCTGTTGGTATCACTTTCGGGACTTTTAAAGATTTTCCAGAGGGCCTTTGGAAACCAGGTTTTCTAGAAAACTCTTTTGTTATCAAAAAAATACTGAAAATCATCTGGTTCGATTGAGAATTAAATTTTTAACAAAATGAGACCTCTGAGGTTTCTACGATCTTTGACTGGCCGGGGACCTATTTTTATCCGAGAAGAAGATATGAAAAAGGTCAAAATGGAATACCTTGCCATCGGGACATCGTGGAAGTAGTGCACAAGGTAAGCGCATTTCTTCCACCTTTCGCATACCAGTAGTCTAAACTATCCAAAACAAATTATCACATCTTCAATGAAAAATAGCATCTAACATCGATGATGTAATCGTTTGACATTTGCATATAAACATATTTCTGCTAAGAAAAGATCAATCTAACAATGAATTATAAGAATCATATGAAAAAGTTCCAACTGACCAACAAAGTTGATTTATGTGTCGATTAAGTTTATCAGTTAAAACGATAATGTATTTTTCATATTTCAGCGTTTAATGACTAATGCTGATATTTTTTAGTCTAATAAACAAAAAATTCTGTGTACACATTTTAATATTGACACATAACATAAAGAAAAAAATATCTGATAATTGGTCGTATTTTAATTGTTGAATTGTTTTTGCTTCGTGATTTAATTCACTAGTATTGAATGCGGACTTTCGTTCGCTTATTAGACATTTTATTTGATTTATTCAATGAATCATATATATTTCATTCGTATTGGGAATATGGGATTACTATTTCTAATGTAGATCAGCATCCAATCTAAATTGGCAAGTAAACTTTTGAATGTTGACCGAATGACCAGAAGATTTTTCATTTTATACCTAAACTAAAACAAATTTTCTGTTTTTCTTCAAAAATAAAACATTATTAAAGTTAGTGCTCAGAAAGCACAGAACTGTCTACTTTTTACCTGTCAGAACACAAATAGCATCTTCAGATCAGAGCTGGGCAAATCAAGTAAAAAATACCTTATGTCCAAATCAAGTCAAGTCTGACTTCACTTGACTTGAGAGATTTTTTTTTGTGACCATAACTGGATCTGAAAAAATTGTCAAGTCATTTCTAGTAAGAGATTTTCATTTAAATTAGGCATTTTTTACCCTGAAACTATAAAAACTCTCTCACCCAAAAAGCGCTAGCAAATTTTATGTTCTACCTAATTTTTAATCAGACTTGACTTGATTTGGAGGAAAACATTTCGAGAGATAACTCGACTTGACTTGGGAGAAAGAATTTTCTCATCTCGATTTGACTTGTGACTTGCAAAACCTCTGACTTGCCCAGCTCTGCTTCAGATGTCTCGCGTATAGCCACTTTTACTGCAAAAAAAACATTATCTCAAAGTGATTACCCGAACAATATTCGAAAAAGTTTTGAAAAGCTTAAAAATGATAAAATCGTCAGAGAATCGTCTCATGTTTATGTTGAATATTTTTCTCTTTATCTATTAATAAAGCGAGGATGTAGAACTCTTTTTCTTACCTACTTTCATCTTCTGAATACAAGTTTTTTGTCCATGATATTCAATGTATTGAAAAGTTGCATTTTAAATGATCAACCGAGCGTAAAAGTTGAAATTGATTGATTTGAAACTTTTAGTTTCATTGAATGACAACAAATTCAAAGAATTGAAATGAGGATAGTATAGAATGATGTACATTAATTATGATGTTTTCCGACTGTTGTGATGTTGGTGATTGTAATAGTTTCTTGGCTATACACATTGGTATCGATACTGAACGAGAAAAGCCAATTTATTTAAACTAGTGCAATCTTCTTATAGGGTATGTTGTAGGGCCTTTCTATGACAAATAGAAAGAGTTAACGATGATGATTAATCAATATTTCATAAAAGATAAATATATTTCATACGAGCACCTGAGGGAACTCTCCATGATGATAATAATTTAATCATCTGAAAAATACGATAGAACTGAGGGAAATGCGACTGAAGGGCAGATAATTGTACTGTTAGATATGTCAGTTTCTGAACATCTCAAGAAAAAGTTTTGACCCGGTAACTAAAGAAAATCTTCTAACTGAGATCAATACAAAATTTTATTTTCATATATAAAACAACCGATAATAAAAAATATTATTTACATCTTGTTATCATCTTCTTCTATATTCGAACTGATCAATTGAGAATCAATTCGACTATCGATTAATAAACTCTGTAATATTTTTGTTTTTTTATTTTCAAACGAGATTATCTGCTGTTGTTGCTGAATACTCTGATATTTTTTTGTTGCTCCAAAACCTTTTTTTTTTTTTAATATCAACAGATCACTAGTGGCTGTTGTAGTTGTTTTTTTATCCATATTCATTTGTAACAATGTTTGTGTACAATATTTTACCAAAAATTTTTTGCATTGTCTTATACTTCCAGCCACATGTAATGTTTGTAGTGAACATTCATATGGTCCAATATGTGTGGTAAATGTGGCTACAGTTTTCATTTCAACTTTATTTTCTCTTAAACATCTTATAATAGATAAATTTGTTACAGGATTATAATAGATTATTGTTAGTGAACGTAAGAATTTTGCTGAACCATAGTCACCATATAATTTTTGAATTATTTGTTCTAATGATGTTTGAATATGGTTTGGTTTCAAATGACGAGATAGATAATGTTGTTTATCATCGTTATCATCGGCAAAATGAATGTGAAATACAAAGTACCGACGTTTTATACGAACCATATGGATAGATAATAACAAACTGTCGATTTTTCTTTCTAAAAAGAACCTCTAAGAAAATGTAAATAATAATAAGCTTCTTGCTAAAGAAACATTGCTTTGCGTATGTAGGAGAAAAAATTTAGCAATAGAAAATCTACATATATTCGATGATTTTCCGCGAAGCTAGTTTCCGTTAAAATTTGAGTGAACAGTATAAGAATTTATAATTGAGTAATACTTAACTATTGATTTTTTTAGTTAACATATTTTTTTTGCAGACATGTCAAGATACTCTTGATGTTTTGTAATATCATTATTTTGATACTAACATCTAATTTAAATAATTCTAATTCTGATAAATCCAATGATTAAAAATATCTCTAGTTCAGCTACAAGACTGAACTTTTGGAAAAAACGGCTAAAAAACTCTTTATCTATTCATCGAATTTATATCATCGGTTGCCATTTTTAAAGTGCATGATGTATTAACTAACCAGTGGCGGATCCAGAATTATTTTTTGGTACGTGCGGTATACGATAAAAGTGCGAGATATGTGCGGTCGTCATAGAAACAAATTATTCTAAGAGAGATCTGCTGGGAAAAAACAGCTTTTTTGGTTAAAAGGTGCGAGCGACCGCTCGTACCGCTCGCGGGCTGGATCCGCCACTGTAACTAACGATATTTTGTTGTTGGAAATGCGATGTAAATAAATGAAATTTGAGTTTGATGTTGTTAGACTTGAACATCTGAACTGATTTTTGTATTAAACTATAAAAGTACCCTACAAAAAAATATTTTATCGGCACTGGTTGTGCACGGGTGTGCACCGGTACGGAATAATTTTTTTCTGAGCACCGATGCGCATCGGTGCCAGAAAGAATGTAAAAATCTCGTATCGATGCGCACCAGTACCGAAGTTTTGTTTTGTCAATTTCGGTCTATATTAACATCACAGTGTACCTCTAATATTTCGAATGCCTTTCTGACTTCATCTTTTTCTTCTCATAAGAGAAGTGCCGAGGCAATGCCACATGGTTTTGGCATGTCGATGTAATACTGATCAGTGCCGCATTCTAATACAAAATTCAGTATAAACAACCATAATAAAATACTAATTAAATTGATTAAATAAATTATCAGTGCGGCACTTTTTCGGCAGAAATATATCGGCACTGGTGCGCACGCGTACCAGTTGGCACTGGTTCGGCACTTGCTGAACACGGGTGCACACCAGTGACCGATGGCATGCCATGCACACTGGCAGTGCCGCACTGATTTTTACCAGTTTTTTTATAGGGTAAATTCACTGTTCCTAATCTATCTATCTATCTGCAGTATAATGATTGAAGATGTGCAATCAACTCAATGTCACTATTATTGATTCGTTTTGGTTTATGTTTTGTTGTCAAATTTGATATGAGGTAAATGACACGTGAATTGAAATAAATCTTAGATAAAAATAAACTTTCAACTAAACATTTTTCCACTTCAATCAGCTAGAAATTTATCTAATGAACAATACCATAAAAATTTAAGAGGGTATCCTTAAGTAACAGAAGTTGCCTGTTTTACTTATTATGACTTCATCAACATATTTTTCTCGTTCCGAAAATCGTTTTTAGAATGTTCTTCAGCCAAAATCGCCTTAAAACAGTAGCTTACATTTTCCTTAGACGATTTTTTAGGAATGAAAAAAGTTTATTACCGAAGTGATGAATTATTCGAATGGTTCGACTCTTATTTTTTTTTCAAAATGTTGACCGACAACTTCAATTACTTAGGGAATAAAGGATATGAATATAAGAAAAAATGTTTGTCAGCACATTTTAATATGGAGAATCGAATGAGATAAATTTCGACAATAAAAACTTTAGTGTATGATAATTTTTCTTATTTGCAGCACTGATGGAATGTCTCTTAATAAATAATGTTTTAGAGACACGAACTTTTCAGTTATAATTATTTTAAAACATTTGATAATGTATCGAATTCTCTATAGACTGGACTGAAAATTTTTAGATTTGAAAAAATTTCTTTAGACTTGGCTTACATCGAGAAAAAACCATTGAAAAACGTGTTATTTTTTGTATTTTTAAAAATAATTAACACTCTGAAGCTCACAAGGAGTCATGAGTGCATGTATTTAGGTTTTTTCCCTAATGCATATGACTCTACGCATGTCATCTATAACGAACGATTTATGGATCGTAAATGGTTATCCTAAAAACGCGGACGACCTCTAAGACTAGTATCATTCTTAAGATTTAAGCCATCATGATCAGGGTTTCCGATTAGGATACCCTAAATTTCGGCACTGTCCGCCAGATTTTTGGAATTTTGTTCGGTCTTTAACTTTATAAAAGTTCTTTTTATTTTACAAATGTTCACTTGTTTCGAAAATCTATCCACCAACTTTTTAAAAAGAGTGTCTGTCATAAAAATCTCCTCACCCTGATTAAAAACAATCGGAAATTCTACTCACGGTTCACCTGGATGATCTTTTTGTGGACTGAACTACACTCTAACTTTCTAGTTTATGAACTAGAAAAAAAATTTTGAATGGACCTGGTGTCGACTGATTTCGAAAGTTCGAGTTCATATGTTCTTTAACATACTATAGAATAATATTGTCCAATATTTTAGCTTACATATTGTCACATATTGTTACATATGAAAATATTGACCAGTACAGTTAAAGATTAAAAGATATAATTCTAAACTCAAATTTGCCAAATATATAAATATCCTGCGTAGTTAAGCAAGCAAAATAATTTATTTGGAAACATTTTAAGTCTTGGAAATATTTGATCAACATTTTGATATTTGACTTGTTTGAACTAAATAAATTTTTTGTTTTACAACCGCTTTTTCGTTACTCCAAGGTCTGAGCTTTTCTAACTTGAATTGACTCTTACTACGCCTGAAGACATTTTTAACCGAATTATTTCGTTGACGTCTGATATATATATTCTCAACTGTGTTGAGAGAAAATTTACAGAAAGGCAGTCTTGAAGACTGCGCGCGTAGTACGGGCCAGTTCAAGTTTCCAAGACTTGAGCATTTTTTATTGATCAACATTTATCTGAAGACATTTTTAACCAAGAACTGTTCTACGTGTTTCGCAAGCAAGCTTTCTTTCAGTCTTGTTCTTTAATCTGTTCAATTTTACGGCTCATCGGAACAGGAGGAAAATAATTTTGTCATGACATGTTACCTGAATTTTTAAAATATTCACTTTTTGAAAGACGATCTTAATATCACAAAAATATCTTTCGTATCAGACGGATAAAAAAGCTCTCCAAAAAAGAGTTGTATCATTGAAATTGCACATAGCTATCTTTCCAACAAAAAGCTTCTTCTCGTACTTGTCTAGAGAAAAGAATGTGCTTTATATTTTATACGCTAACGACAGGACTTGTTGCAATAAATGTCTTAATTCCACTTATAATAGCTTAAATATTCATTACAAATGAATACTCAAATTGCTAGAAGTGTTTTATGTTATCTTACTCTATTTTCTCAGATTATGACACTAAAAGAATAACTTTACAAAAAAAAGTCGAATGATGTTTCTTGTTGTTTTCTTTATTTTCACAAATTAAATAAAAAAAACAAGCAGAAAATCGAAAGTGAAACAAAAACATCAACAATAATAATCCTTGTGTTTTGTATTTTATCGCCGCCATGTTTTTTCTTCTACAACAACAAACACAAAGACATTTTACACTTACACTATCGCAAAACAGAAATAAAAAAAAAATGTTTATATCTTTAGAAAATAAGAAAGCATTCATTATCAACAAAAAAGTATTGAAGAAAAAACAAAGCAAAAAATCAAAATGATTTCAAAAATATTCATAGAGTTAAAAATATACAAATAACAACGAACAAGATGTAGTTTTAACTATATCTTGATCGAGGTTAGAATCGATAAATGAATTTAAAAAATGTTTGAAAGGTATTTTGTAACCATATGCGGGATAAAAGTTATTTATAGTAGACATAGAACGTGCGCACGTCAGAATAAACACATTTAGTTTAAAATAAAAATCTTAGCAAGTGATATATATCCAACATTCTGAACTAAAGACAATATAAAATTCTCCTAATGCTTGCCTAAAGATGTATACACAATATTTAGTATATTGCTACTGGTTGATAGAATTCAGAATTTGAAACAAAAATTGGACGTTTGTTTTCTTAAATATTGAGCAACAATACTCCTTCGGTTACATATATCAATTATTACCCATAAGAAAAAGATGATAAACTAAATTTTGGAGTTTTAACCATGCTCTTGGGTCCCTATACACATTTTTCTTGACGCTTATGTACACCATGGGTGAAAGAAAAGAAAAAAGCAATAAGGTTTCATTTAGAGATTTGAAAAGAAAAGACAAATAAAGAACAAAAAAAATGTATGCGTGCACGTCGGCGCACAGTCATATTTCATAATTTATATAAATAAGGAGAATATTCATTCTATTCTTCGATGCCTTTATCTTTTTAATCAAAATCAAGTAAATTACTAGTAGAAAATGGTCCATTTGATGAATTTGTTCCACCTGCTGCTGCTCCACCTCCACCATTACCTCTCCGATTGTTTGGATTTGATGGATTATTTGGTGGGGGATATTGAGATGATTGTTGAACATATTCGTGATTACTGGTATTTTGACCGTCTAGTGTAACTCGACATGTTGGACATGTGCCATGCTTTAAGAAAAAGAAAAAAAATATAAATTATAATTCTTGAAAGACGAGACATGGTTAGGGGCGGCACTTTCTCGTTTCTTTCCCAAAAAGAAAGAAAAAGAAAGTAGATATAACTTTCTTTTGTGTTTTTCTGTATGAATAAAGCACTTTGAAGCAAACCAGGTCCATATTCACGATCAGCGTCGAAAACTAAATCGAGTGATGTGTTTTTGCAAAAACTTTTCGAAAACTTATTTTTTTTTGCAAAACACATCACTCGATTCAGTTTCCGACGCTGATCGTGAATAAAGGGTGTATACTAAGTTCTGACCCGCTTTGTAAATTGACGTTATTTATATGAAATACATGTGATACAATTCAGCTGTTTTTTGCAGAAGATTCATCATTTAATTCTCTACAAAATGGTATATA